TTGTTTTCTGTATGATTGGATAGTTGATCAATTATAGGCATTTATTTTTTATTGCTGAAGCCTCTTATCATACGTGTGGCGCTAATTTATAATAAATTGGACTTCCAAGCACCCATTTAATGTAATTGTGGCTTTTTCCCCGATCATTACCCTTGCCAAGTTGCCTTTTGTAATTGTTTCCTTCTCTGTGTAATACTGTTATGGGTTTCCGGTGGTATTGTGGCTGGATCTTTTTTATTCAACTGTTATAATTAATGTTTTTGGGTCGGTTTATGCATTTTTATCACAAAATGGTGCAGTAAATACATATTCATTCTGACCTAGTTCATTTTTAAAAAATAAAAATCTTACATGGATATTTGAGTTAAATTAAAATAAAAATAAAAAACTCATTCTGACCTAGTTCATTTTTAAAAATTAAAAATCTTACTTGGATATTTGACTTAAATTAAAACAAAAAGAAAAAAATAGCAAACTTAATTTGTTATCCACCATGTCTAACTCTTACATTTGTTGTTGAATATACCTAATTAAATCATGGAAAAATAACTCCATGCCGTGAGCTACATGGGGTTGCTAGGAAACTGGTCTCAATGTCATGAGCTACATGGGCTGTCCCTCTTGGTGTATTAATAATTTTACAATTTCTCTTCTTTGCCTGTAAATGTATGCATACCGTTTATCTTTTATAAAACTAGATATCAATGGGTTTTTTATTGGTCATGCATGGACTTGATAGTAATTAAATGCCACTGTTAAAAACTGGACCTTTTATTAAAAAATTTCATATTTTTTTATTTAAAATGATTTTATCAAAATTAAATAAAAAATAAAAAATACTATTTTAATATATTTAAAAATAAAAAACATTCATGAAGATTTCAGAGATAGCGAAACGTCAGCACCATAAATGTGATGAGCATGAGGAGGACAACAACGGCGAGTAGGGGTGACAAATGGCTAGAGTGGCACACCCAGTGAGTTGCAAAAACAGTTGGGCTATTAGTGGGTGGGAATAATGATGATTGAGGGTGATGGTGAGGGTCCACCAAACACTGGTTCTAGATGCGGGACCCAAGGAGGAGAGAGAAAAGAGAACAACACACCTGCGGGGTGGAGTTCGCTCGCCCCTGGCTTGGCTGTTGGCTTTCATGGACCTTTTCTTTGGTTTTATGTTAAAAGACAAGTACCCATTTAAGGTCATGATGGCTACTCATCTGACGTTATCATGGCTGGAGGAGCCCGGGCCACGCCTCGATCGTGCGAAACTGCCATACGTTATTCGTACGTGTGTATGTAAATACATTGAAAACTCAAATTTAATCTTTAGTGAATTACCAATCAAGTCCTCAATCTTTTGATCTTATCAATTTTATTTTTAATATAATCGATGTGGACGGGATGATTTTATCCCCTCATCCATCGTCTTTGTTGAGTGCTGTAGTTTGAAGTATCGAGATAAATCCATAATAATTCTTAAAAAAATCAGTGTCGGCATATTTCTTTTAGTGAGTGTTTTATATTATAATATAAAGTATTTTTTTTTTACATTGATACATCAAAAATATTATCAATTTAATTTTTTTTAAATAAAAATTACGTTTGGAAAGCACCTAGAAAATAGAAGCAAGCACACCATTAACTTTATTGGCTTGTACAAAAAGTAAAATGAAGAAAAAAATAGTATAAATTGGTACTGAAATTGTTTTTTAAAATACAGTAGAGTTCATTTTTATGCAGTTAATGGAAGCTCCTGAAAAGCATGTGCAGATTGGAAAACACTCGTGAATTGTCATTAATGTTTTTGAGTGGATGTATGAAGAAATTAATTTAAATGTTAATTGTGTTTAGAGCAATGTAGATGAAATCGAAATGTTTGGAGCTCCAATAATAATAAATTTGATATATTAGGGGATAAATCGAGGCTTTCGTTCTGCATGCATGTTGTAGTGTTGTCTCCTACAGAGACAGTGCTTTTGGCTCAAAGCAGATTCTGCATGTGTGTGTGGATGGAGCTTTCTCACGAGAGAGTCAAGCTAGAGTGTTAGATATCCAGATGGATGTTTATGCACATAGTTATCTATTTATTTTCACATTTCTAGCTGACCTTTTGGTTTGAAACCAAGATAACTCTCGATTCAAG